TTACACCCTGTCGGCATAGAAGTGTGAAGGGTGCTTTCTTGGATGGTAGGAGCGAGCCTTGCCGTACCCTTTAGCTCCAAGGTTAAAGGTCAAACGGGAACCGCATGGCTCCTGTATCCTCCCAAGTTCCTGGGGATGATGCGACCTCAGTCCTAACGCCAGAGTTTCTCTAAGATATTAACGAAGCTATACGACTGTACTATGTGGTAGACACTGTTTAAGGATATCGCACGAGGTAACTTTAATACTATGTTATATGTATACCTAACACGTGCCAGGACTCTATATCTTTACTAGAAGAAAGTGATTGCGACCTCCCGGTATGTTTATTAGACAAAATTTTCCTTTTACGTACTCTATCCGTAGATTAGAATTGAATACAAAAAGAATTGGAATAAACATATATTTTACCATCTATCCCTCAAGTACTGTCTACTCGTAGCTACGTTTATAGGACAGGTAGAACAGGGTAGTTTTTCCTTATGAATTCTGGAGGATGTGAAAATGTGTCTGGAATGTAGAAAGGCTATAAAATTTCTATTTCTTCCATCTCCGGAATTTCCGACAAATTGAAAGCAATATCATGCACTCGACTGTCTTCCTACCCTTTTAGACCCAGGACTGTATTTCGGAGACCAGGGTGGCTAGAAAGTGTCATAGGTCAGATCGTCAGAAAAAATTGTCAAGAAATGTAGCTATGCTAGATTAAAATCCTTCTCCGTAAATAAGAGTAGAGAATCTCAGTGTCCTCCAGGGAATTTATTATCGATTTTACACTGGCAGGACCTAATCTTGTCGTCCGTTTTAACGAAGTGTTCCTCGCCCGTGACGTATGGGCGCTCTCCGATCCTGGATTTAAGTAAGGGTGGCTCTTAAGTCGAAACGGGATTAAAAATCGACGTGGGGGTAATCCGCGCGATCTAAGGGCTCGCGGATCCTCTGGGTTTTAGAAAAAAAACGTGGACGAACGGATCCTTGGCGTAGAGGACGTGGGTCGAGAGGGGACGATTATCCTAGGCATCACGGCCCATTTACCTCTGGCAAGCCATATTTCTAATTACTTTCCGACGGCTAAAATTTCAATTTCATTTCATTGGCAACTTCCATATCGGTTTAATTACCCGGGAGGGTGGTGCGTCCATCCTTGCAGGTAGGGGTGCTCTGGGTTGCTCTGATTTCCTGGTTTCTCAATACGTTATACCCATCAGATACCAAAATCCACTTGGATTTGTGAGGTGGCTTCAGGGCGTGCCGAATGTTTTCTCATCGATTTAGAAATTACCTAATAACGCAAAGACACACTTCTCTCTCTCTCTCTCTCTCTCTCTCTCTCTCTCTCTCTCTCTCTCACTTTGACCTACTCTTATTGCTTTTGCTCTACCTCTCGCACCCTCTATCCTCAACTGAATATCTCGGCAGTCCGACCTAAAAATGAGTTGCAAAAAAGGCGGAGACACTTCCTGGTGCCTGGAACGATGATAATAAAAATTTCATAAAAATAAGAGAAAGATAATGTTACCTGACGAAAGAAAAAGGATCAAATAGAGAACTCCGAATTACCCTTACCGAGGAACGTATAACCACCGACGACAACGCCATCTACTTCCGGGTAGAAACTACCCTCCACCCCCCGCGCTCTCTTAACTAACTAAAGTCTTCTCAAGGGTGGCCATATCGTAATCCTGATACTGAGACTAACCACGTTCCGCTCTGTGTACCATGGATATAGCTATAGGTCGTTATCGTGGGAATTAAAGAAAACCAAAAATTATAAACTTATTCAATTGCAAACTCGCCCCCCCCCCCTCGGTTCCTTAATTTAACTTTATCTCTCGGCTGTCTTCTCTAACAAAAGTACCAACCTAACCGCATTGAATAATCTTAACCAACAAAGTCTCCAGCAAGATTCCTGCGGTGGATCCCTCGTAAGATAAATCCACATCTGCTCCCATGTAGAATAAACGGGAGCGTCCTTAGGAAGGATTTAAAAATACTGAATAAAAACACAGTGCGTTTCTATGTAACTAATGCGATCCGACGATACGTAAGAGAATCCGATCGAAATTCAAGCTCGTCCAGGCGTGAGGGACCTCGCCAAGCGGTTAAGCATTAATGGATTTATAATCTAATGAATTTTTAGGTTAGCCGCCAGGAGGAAGTGGCTAAGGGTAACAGTGGGTGGTACCAACCCCACTGGCAAGTGGGGTAGGTATTTTCACGGGGATTTATTGCCGTGGGAGAGACAGTCGAAGAGAGCGTAGAAAGTATGAGGGGGCTGAAAATGAGAGAAGGAAAGAAATAAGGGGGAGAAAGAGACAGAGTCGTTTATCTCGGCTGGGTGGGACCATTGCAATGAACCAGCGTCGGTTCTCCACGCCAGGATGACCACGGACCTCATCATACCCATAGAATACGATTTCACCTAGCCACCATGTTTCATCAGTTATCTGTAAAAAGATATAATTGAAAAGAGTATAACGATTGGTATAATTAAAGATCATAATTTATATAAAAAATATTAAATCCAGTCGTACTGGATACCCCGCTGTACGTAAAATATATATAAATTACTTAGCTAAGAATTTTTTTTCTTATTATTCCCCGTCATGCCAGGCTGGCCAACACAAAAGCTCAAAAGCGGGGAGAGAAGGGGTTACGGTGAACTCCTCGTCGTAGCATAGGGTTAATATATTTGTCGTGGAAAATTATTTTTAATTTCTCCGGATAGCGGCGGCAGCCAACAGCGAAAAAGGGTTGAAGCGCCGTATAACAGTACAGAAGTGGAAGTGTGAGACAGACTAGGTACACAAAGAGCGAGAAAGAGAAAGAAAGACCGACACGAGGGCTCTGTAAGACATTCTTAATTAGATTTGACCTGACTCCACAGTCGACATTTCTTTTTTTGTTTTTTTCACAAGAAATACTCCATAGCCTATGGGTCTATGCCTACCGACGTCGTCCTCCAGGTTGCACTAAGCTACTGGCTCTTCGTTCTGGTAGATATAGCAACAACACCAACACCAGTAATGCCAACAGTAGTACCAGTAACAGCAGCAGTCATTTCTGTAGGCCTCCAGTAGTTTCACCGTTACCTCCTTGACTCTACTCCTATACCTAGCAAGCAACGGCGCGGTTATACATATTTATTCAGATTACTAATTTCTTTAATTCGCCTTACAAAAGACCCGCCTCGAGGCTCCCCGAGCAATGGCGTAGCCTCTGGCGGCCGCATATGCTAATGAGAGCACCGTTATTCTAAATACGCACCCCTA